ATAGTCCTGGTGGGGATCATTCGAATTGGGGATCACTCGAAATGTCAGAAGCTACTCATGACGGGGATCTCGAAATAAGTCCGTGAATTTGTTTGTAAAGCTTTCTTCTTGTACTTTGATCTTTGAGAAAGAGCACCCGACGACCAAAAGAATCGAAAGGGTTGGACACCACGGAGGGAGCCCATGCACGACTAACCACCCCCAGAAGAGAATGTCAGAGGATTAGGCAGATAAACTGTCAGAAGATAGCCATGGTGGGGATCACTCGAAATAACTAAGTGATTCTTTTCTGTGGCCATGTGTGGAAGACTTCAACACGATGCCCGAAATATCGCCGATCACCGCGAAAAACACATATTTCGGGCATTGCTGTTGCTGGCTGCGCGCACACTAAACAAGTCCGTGCGTTTTTGCTGGCTTTCATCCTCTCCTTTCTCAGGTTTGACTAGGATGCCCTTCGCCCCTAGTAGCGTCCTTGTTCCTAGTAGCGATGCCAGGAGCTCCTAGTAGCGTCCTTGCTCCTAGTAGTGATGCCCTTTGTTTCTAGTAGCTTCCTTGTTCCTAGTAGTATGTTAAATTTGATTCTACAAAGAAAAGTTCCGAATCTTTGTACCACTTCTCGGCCTTGGGAGGACGACGGGGCCTCCGAGACCACCAAATCTGATTCAGGAGAGGGAGAAACTCGGAGAGACTTCTTTCGGTAAAGTTTCTTTTGGATCTTTTTGGAAAGAAGGAATATGTCTGAAACAAAGAATCGAAAGAATCTGTTTCTTCTTGTTTCCTGTCAAACCGTTTATTTTTTTTAAGGCCTTTTCTTTCTACACGCACGAAATGAAGCTCTCTCTCTCTCTGCGAAGCAAGCGGAGACGAACGGCTTCTGACCAGGACTGTCCACAAGGTCTTCGCGAGAGGAGAAACGAGTTGGAGAGACTTTCATTCGAAGAATGCTCCGTTCGTAGCGATGCCAGCCTCTAGTAGCGTCCTTGCTCCTAGTAGTATGGCCAGGAGCCCCTAGTAGCGAACCTTGTTCCTTTTTTTTATGTTATAGTTCATGTTTTTTCTTTGTCCACTTCCGTTCACAGATTCTGTTTCCAGTTCGAATTATACGGAATAGAGTCATCGCAGACGCTGACGCTGACCGTGTGTCCTGATTTGCCAATTTGGTGTGCGCATTCAAAGCGTGTTCAATCTAACAGCGATGGCCTCCAACCTAATAGGCATGGCCTCCAACCTACTAGCGATGGCCGCCAACCTAACAGCAATGGCCTCCTCCAACCTACTAGCGATGGCCGATGGCTTGCAACCTACTCGCCATGGCCTTCAATACTGGCCACACTAAAGACAAAATTCTGAAAGGCAAAGGCCGACAGTTCAGCCCGACGCTTTGACTTGCACAAACACCGATGCTGGTTCGCTTGAACTTGCGAGCGTTAAAGCCATGACAGTACTAGGAGCAAGAAGCTACTAGGGGCTCCTGCCATCACTACTAGGAGCAAAGACGCTACTAGGAGCAAAGGGCATCGCTACTAGGAGCAAGAAACTACTAATAGCTTGAAGCTACTAGTCGACTGGAAGAAATCACGCGAAGAGATTGTGGCAAACACGGCAAACAGAGCTCGCAGGAGTTTAGCAGAGTCGAGGAGCTCATTTTTGCATTCCAAAACATGACTTTTCCGTGGAGGCCATTGCTCTTACATTCAAAAGTCTTTTGTTTGCAAAGGTCCGGTGTGGATGTTGAGGAGCTCGGCTTGGGACGGATCATGCTTCTGCACGCTCATGCTGTGATTACGGAGAAGGACGGGTGGAGCTGTATGTTGGAGGGCGGTAAATTACTGGGGTGGGTTTGCACGCTGTTGCCATTGTTTGTTTTTCACCAGACACTTTCCTGTGTGGGAAACAAACCAGCATCGTTGAAGCTAGGTGGTTTATGCTTGTCCAGTCTTGCGTCATCCCAGGACTTCGGCAGATTCGCTAGATTGGTCGCGCTTGCGTTGCACCGCCGTTGCCTTGCTTTGTTTCAACCTTGTCCAATGTTTGTCCACATTTTGCCTTGTAGGTAGGAGGCCATCGCTGGTGGGTTGCAGGCCATCGCTAGTAGGTTGCAGGCCATCGCTCTCAGGTTGGAGGCCATCGCTAGTAGGTTGCAGGCCATCGCTGTTAGGTTGGAGGCCATCGCTGTTAGGTTGGAGGCC